GATGGCAAAACTCTAAAAGAGGTTCTGTACAAGAGACTGAACTCTATTAATGTCATCATTACCAGTCACAATAATGTCATCTACTTATGCTAAGAAATATATATTACATTTGAATGCTTTGAGTTGATTGATTTTAATAATTTAAAATATTAGTAATTATGTGTAGGTACAGATCCAGTTATACAACACGAATGTTTTTGTTTTTATTTGTTTTTGTAATCGCCACATCAGCAAAAGAAACAAAAAAAAAAAAAAACATTTTCTAGAACATGCATGGTGTTGAATAATCAGATGACAGCATGCTTTTGAAGCCAACAAAATATTAGTTTTTAAAACAAAAACAAATTTTCTAGAATATTTATATGATGGGACATGCTGGGTGTTGAATAATTAGACGAAAAACATGCATATTTGAAGCTAGATTCAAGAATATATTTTTAGTTTCAGTTTTGAAAACAAAATACACACACAAACAGCCAAGAACATGTTTTTCATGTTTTTATTTTAACAAAAGATCTGTTTTCAAATGAAATGGTTTTGATTTGTTTTCGGAACCGGAAATAAGAAAAACAATTCACGTTGCAGAACACCCTCTAAGAAAAGCATATTGTACTGGTCTCATGCTTAATGCCCAAAGTTTTCTTTTTTTTTTTCAGTATTTTTGTGATATGCCTTAATCCCATAAGGGCCATTTGAATAACGTAGCACTATACTAATAACCCCATCCCCAAAGTCAATGGTTACAGGAATTGAATCAATGTTTCTGGATTGGTACAGGGCAATGGATTGAAAATGTCCACTTGATTTTAATTCCGGGGATGTATGTGGCTTTCAGCGAGCCATATGTATTTGGACATTACTATGGAACAAGGTTGGTGATAACTGAACTTATGATAAAGGTGGAAGAATTACAACTACAGAAGAAAGGGTGAGATCATTAACAAAGGATAGAAAGGAGTTGGGTTTATGTTGTTGCACATGTCTCTCTAAACACCATGATTGGATGTCTCAACAACAAAGGTGGTTGGAAGAGGTGGGAAGACAAATACCATAAGATTCATAACAGCATCCTTGAGGACAAGGTTGTAGCTAACGGAGAGGGAATGTTACGAACCTTCGGGATGAAAATCTTATTACCCTTACTACTACTAACATGTATGGGACTGGTATGGGTATTTACGTAAAAGCCATTGCACTCCTGGAGACCGTTAGAGTTGATGAGAAAGATGGAGAATCCTTGCCGTTATGATCACTAATTGTAACCATTGCAAATCATTTTCTTGTAATGGCTATGAGCCTATATAAATAAGATAAACCAATAAGGAAGGGGATTCCACATTTAATCAAATTCATCTTCTTCAGTGATCTTGTGATCCTGAGCCCTCTTTGAGCGGCGCTCCGGGGTTATATTGCTCAAGAGAATTACGTATCAGTTTTCATCCCTGAAAACAGAATAGGTCTGAGCGCTGTAGATAAAAAGACAAGATAATGCAACAACAGGCGGAATCCGGTGACATTTCTGAGGCATTTCCACGGGCAGAGCCAATCACCGTAGTCGCTCGTCTTCTTCTCAATATGACGAGGGCTTCAGACAGGAGGGTTTAATTTTGGTTAATTAATCTCCTTTTATAAGATGAATTCTTCTTCTCAACTTTGCTGTGAGTAAGGGTAGTTGACTTACTGGCCATAGCTGCGAGAACAGTAGGCTATAAACAAAGTTGTGTACACAACAGGCTACGGTACTAACCAAGAATGAACGCAACAGTGTTTTTTAACACTGATGCGTTCACTCTCGATTCATGTCGTAGCCCATTATACAAGAATTTGATTAGAGCTAATCCCGTTCCAAATTCAATACTGCATGTGATATTATCGTTTCTTTTTCTTCTTTTAAGCAACACCCAACTCTAATCAGTTGTTGGTCTTCAGGTTACAGTGTGTAAATCTTCGGTATGTATTATGAAATTAAGTCCAAGGTTGCGTTTCGTTTATGAGAAAATTATTACAACTGGGAATGTAAATCTTCATCAGCTTGGCCTCGGCCTCGACCGAAGCTGTTGCCTCGTTTAATGTTTTCAGGACGTAATTCTTGTTGATCCGGTGGAAAGGAAGATTTTGGCTGTTTGGGAAAAACAGCAGCCGGGGCGATGACTGAACATTCTATAATAGCTCACTAGTTAAGCAAATTGGCGCGAGGATTGCGCAATGAGTGAGTGAGCTTATTTATTTATGAAAGTTGCATTCAGTTAACCAATACAATAGTACGCTATTTTGACAAAGATGACTTGAAAATCCCGCTTTTCATATCCATCCCACTTGCGAGTACTTAATAGAACAAGTGAACAACCATACTGAGATGAGTAGAAAAAGAGCAACGTTAGCCATCCAGCCGGGTTTCATGGTCAAAGGAGTTAACGATAAACTCTGCTCCATGGTTTTTAAAACCGAACCGGTCAGGGGTCCGGTTACCAGGTGGAACGGTTCGACTGTTCGAATTGAACGGTCGGYCATTTTGATAAAAAAATAAAAAAACAGTCAAAACCGTTCAAATGGTTCAAACGGTTAACCACCCGGGTCAGCAGTTTGCTGACCAAAATCAACAGATTTTTGAGAAATCCCGGTTTGGGGGAAAAAATGAAACCGATCACCTGACTGGTTCCTGGTTTTTTCAGTCCGGTTTTGAAAACCATGCTCTGCTCAATCACCACATTGGTTATCTGAGACCCAAGGGCTTCATAGCAGTGTTTTAAACTCGCCATTCACCCGGATTGTCGAATTATCTGAACCGTACCTGGGATTTGATCAAAAACCATCTATTCCGGATGATTGAACTGTTAACCTGTTTGATTCGGTCACGGGAGCCAGTGGCAGGGGTGTCAATGGATCAGTTTTGGATTGTACCCCATCCAAACTAAAACCAATTTGGACAGACTAGACAGACTAGACAGACTAACGAGGCATATTGAATTGGACTAGTCCAAACTTAATGGTCCAATGTATTTATCAGATTGGATTGGACCTGGTCCATCCGTAATGAATTTATGTTGGATTAGGTTGGATTAAGCAAATTTCTGGTCCATTGATGGAAGATAAGAATATAGGTGTCAACAACGGACCAGGTTTGGGTTAGAACCAATCTAAATTAAAACAATTTTGAACAGATTGGACAGTCCAGACATTGAATTAGACTGGTCCAAAGTATTCATTGAATTGGATTGGGCCTGGTCCTCTAGGTTTACACAACTAAGGCCCCATTTGGTTCATGGGAATAGGGGTTTGGAATCGAAATCTGAATGGGCTATTCCAATTCCATCTGTTTGGTTGAGCATAATTAGAATCTCACTCCCATTCCTGCTGGAATGGCATTCCCCTATAGGGAATGGCCACTCCCTACCCCTCTCTTGGGAATTAAGGGCCCATTTGGTTTGTAGTCGAAATCGGAATCAGAATGGTCCATTCTCATAGTCTGTTTGGTTCAGACGAGAATGGGAATGGGAATTAAAATCAACAAGAATGGGATTTCATTCCCAAGGGAGGGGCAAGGAATGGCCATTCCCTCAAATGGGGGAATGCCATTCCAACAAGAATGGGAATGGGATTCCAATTCCGCCCAACCAAATAGTTGGAATCGAAATAGCCCATTCCGATTCCGATTCCAAACCCCTATTTTTGTAAATCAAATAGACCCTAAATCTCATTCCTGCTAACTCTCATTTTCATTCCCATTCCTGTCTGAACCAAACAGACTATGGAAATGGACCACTCCGATTCCGATTCCAAAGAATTTCGATTCCGATTTCAATTCCAACTGTGAACCAAATGGACCTTATTAGTTTTATATAGGTGGATAGAAATGAGTGAGCCAAGACGACCCCAATAGCCCAAGCACGGCCCATTGTATACATGTTCAATGAACACTACTTGATAAATAATCTAATAACCGTGTCAAAATTTATTTTTAATCTTTTTCAAGGATAAACTGAGGCCCCGTTTGATGTATCTTTCTGTGTGGCCTATCAGTTATTTACAAGTCTACAGACTGCATTTACATCTTTTTCCGTTTGATTCGTAGTAGACCTAGCCGCCAAAAGCCGATGCATAAAAAAGATACGAAAAATCAGTTTTGGGCCATTTTCAAGAAATTCCAAATGGAATTTTCCAATATTTTCTGATTCATCTTTGCATGGAAAAATATGCCTGAACCAAACGATGTTCAGGCTATCAAGATATTAATACAAAAGCTCACTGCATCTTTTAACATTCAGAAATAAAAGAACTGTCAAACGGCCCCTCGATGTACTCACCATGTGTGCTACCTGATCCAGACTGCCCTCGGTGAGCTGAACATGAGCCCAACCAAAAGGTTTAGGTGCTGAGGGATTAGGCTTAAAAACTAACAGCCAGTCAGCTGCTCTAAGCCTCTACTCGCCTCATTGATGGGCCTCATTCCATTCTTTAGTTGGCTACGAGGATCGGGGCCCACCATGCAGTCCACCAATGAATTGTTTGGTCCTACCAAATCGCTCCAAACGGACCGCCCGGTCTAAATTCAACGCCATCAAGATGAGTGTTTTTAACTTTTAACAATTTTCCTCGGCGTGATAAAAAAAAAATCATCTCCTCTTTTGTTGAGAATAAAACCAGATGATAGACACGTTGGTTATGATATTCCAATGCGTTGCCACTTACGTGGGCCCTGCACCACCGGATTAGGAACCTCCATCAAACCGGCCTTCTGGAGTCTGGACAGCCGGACCTGGCAGGTTGCCAACTGGCAACCTTGGTAATGATATAAACACATAATTCTTTCTGGGACCCATTTGATGTTGATGGCGAACAAATCCTTGATGCATTGCTGGCAAGCCTTGCCTTACCACCTCTTCTACGTGTAAGCACAAAGTCCACAGCTTAACACCGCCTCCACGCACGTGTCACCTTTTCACTAACATGACCATACTGATCAACGAGAGAAACCCAAGCTCTTCTATAATAGATCAAGAGCCCACCCGAAATTATTCCAACACGTCCTCCCTCCCTCTCTCTCTCTCTCTCTCTCTCTCTCTCTCCATCAGGTTCTGTGTTCTCTCATGGCATCGGAAAACGTCAGACAACGAATCAGAGATGAAGCCACCGAGTCCACCGATGCCGACAACGGCGACAGGACAAGGAGAGACAAGAAGATGGCCATGGCAAAACGCGGTCTCCGATCGTTAACCATCGCAGTGGCCGTTCCACTCTCCCTCGCAATCACAAATATCTACTTGTTCGGTAGTCCTGATCGATACCGTACCTTAAAGAAGCCCTCCTCCTCCTCCTGGTATCCATCCATCTGGGCCTTACACCTGGCCTGTTTGGCTTCGACCTTCCTAATGGGCCTCTCGTCTTGGCTTGTATGGGCCGATGGTGGGTTCCACCGTGGACGCTCCGCCTTACCTCTTTACGTCGCCCAGCTTGCTCTATGTCTGTCTTGGGACCCTCTTGTGTTCGCGTTAGGGTTATCTCGGATAGGGTTGATGGTGTGCATCGCGTTGTTTGGGGTTCTTGTGGGATGTTCTCGGAGCTTTGGGCAGGTGAATCCAACCGCGGGGGACCTTGTTAAGCCTTGTTTACTGTGTGCAGCGTTCAGGATGATTGTAAATTATTTACTTCTTTAAATACAATATCTATGTAGTCTGTAGTCTATACTGTAGGCTGTATCTTCGTTCTTTATGTACACTCTCTTGTCTCGATGTATTATAATATTCTCGTCCACTATTTCAACCTTATGATTAGAAGATCATAGCCGTCAGATCTAGATCAAAAATTTGAACGGCTAAAGGAATTCAAAGTCAAAAACCAGGAAAGCTAAATGTGCCAGGAATTCTATAACCTAAATGTGAACTGCAAAGACTGAATTGAACAAGTCATGTTCGTCTACTCCATTTACTACTTCTAATTTATGATATTTGTAAAAAATAAAAAATAAAAAATAAACCTTCAACTGTGGTCCGGGCCGGTTGAAATAGGAAATCCAGTTTGATTTTCGAACGTTGATATACAAAGACCCGATCGGAAGTGGAACCTGCTATTGGGCCAGACCGGGCTTAGCACTATGATAAGGTCTATAGCCGGGCCCGGACGGGTTTTGGGCCTGCCAATTAATTCACTATATTTAATATATATAATAATTAAACAATTTACACCCGCTCGGAACATGCTAAGTTGGATGATCATGGCCCGGGCCAGGCTTATCTTTGAGCCTGCCAATTAATTCACTATATTTAATATACTTAATTACACCCTCTCGGAACATGCTAAGTTGGATGACCATGGGCCGGGCTAGGCAGCACTATGATAAGGTTTATAGCCTGGGCCCGGGTGGGCTTTGGCCTTTGGGTACACTATATTTAATATACATAATAGTTACATTATACGACATATAAATATAATTTATATAAATTGTGGGCCGGGCCGGAAATGATCTCTATTATATAAATCTGATTTGGCAATGCCAGTTCGGATAAAGTTTGTCTTGCCCAATTACCCCAGGGACAAATTTGGTAAATAGGTTTAGGGTCAAAATTGGACAAATTTGAGTTGGACCCAGCCTTACCTAACCCAGTACGACTTCGACCTCTCCCTCCAGTTAAACTTAAAAGATTGAAAACTTTTCTCTTAATTGAGGCCCTGCAATGCAATAGCCAATTGCTCGAGTTGTCTTCTCTAACCCTTGATTCAGCATCTATCTCTTTCCATTATTGACATTAACTCAATATTTGCCCATGAACTTGTATTTAATTGCTTGTTATTAGCTTTTAAATTTAACTGAAATTTTCGTTAAAAAAAAGCAAAATGAATTTAACGATATGGTAAGTTTATTAAATATTTGATTCACTTTATCTGTTTAATTTATTTTTCTCCTTGACAATCCAAAACTCATTTATGTATTAATGTTTTTTTCTACCAAAAAAAAAATGCTATTAAGTAATGAATCATTTTTTTCTATAAAATCTTATGAAGTGATGATATCATTATAGTATTATTTATAATGTTATAATTCGCTAAAATACGATGTATTTATTATTAATTTATAATTGTTAACGTATCCCTGACCTGTGAGTCCTTGTTTACTTTTTAGTCTTTGAATGATCAAACTCAGCATATGCTTGGGCGGGGTTTCTGAGAAAGAGTCTGGAAGCCGGAAGCTAAGGTTCCCCTCCGCAATAACAATAAGACAAGCTTTAATAGGGTTGTGATACAAGCATAACCCTTTGATGGGAATCTTTTCTTCATAAGATCCTAAATAAAATAATAAACTAGTAAAATGTTGCAATTCTTCAAATATTTTATTCGATTACTTTACTTAAAACAGCCCAAGCCCATCTTACCCCTTCCACTATTTTATCCAAAAATAAAGGCCCATCTGACGCAACTCTTCTATACTCCTCTTACCTCGCCCTTCAGATAATGGCGGGACCCATGAAAGGCCAAATCGTCTAATCTAATGGTCATCGTCTGGAGCTCCACTCGTAACGTTTGCCCAATTAAAATACACCTCGTCATGTCCGTACACATGGGTCCCATTTGTTTGGATGACGTGGTACATCGCAATAATCGTTTGGTTCTGTATACAGGATACGGGAGAACTTTACTAGTTACTGGTTACTACCCAAAATCTCTCTCTCTCTCTCGCGCGCTCTGTTGTCTGTCTGTTCAATTGTATATATATGGAAGGAAAAATAAAAGGAAAAAGAAAAAGGGTTTTGTAATAGAATTTGTCCAAATGAATGGTCCCTCTGTTCTTAGTCCATGTCTGTAAATCTTTCCTTCTCCACCGACCGACCTTTTGCCCATCTGTGCAAGTGAAAGAGAAAGAGACACTCACACGCAGAGAACACAGAGAGCCGCCTAAGGGAACTTCAAGTCTCAGATCTTTTTTCAGGATTAACGTTTATGATTTTATCGCAGAGGAATCTGCTGTCCTTCCAATGTAGGAAACCCTACATTCCTTCATTTTCAGATACTGATCTCAATCCACGACCCATCTGTGGTTAGGGTTAGGGTTAGGGTAAGGGTTTCTCATCTGATCGGAGAAGGAAATCTGAAGGAAAATGAGACTGCTGGAGCGGTGCTTGGGAGTTCGCCGTGTTCGACAGATCCAGAGAGGTATTCGCCACGCTAAGGTCACCCTTCTTTGCCTGTTCTTGACTGTCATCGTTCTTCGCGGAACCATCGGTGCTGGCAAATTCGGCACGCCCGAGCAGGATTTCAACGAGATCCGAGACCATTTCTACTTTCGCAAGCGGGCCGAGCCTCACCGTGTCCTCGAAGAAGCCCAGACCACGGAAGGTGCCACAACCACAACCACAAGCAACAACCACGCCACATTTGATCCATCCAAACTGATGGTAGATGAGGAAGAAGACGAAAAGCCTGACCCCAACAAACCTTACAGTCTTGGACCAAAGATCTCAGATTGGGACGAGCAGCGAGCTAGATGGCTCCAAGAGAACCCTAATTTCCCGAATTTCATTGGGCCCAACAAACCTAGGGTTCTATTGGTCACTGGGTCTTCGCCGAAGCCTTGTGAGAATCCGGTCGGCGACCATTACCTCTTGAAGTCGATCAAGAACAAGATCGATTACTGCCGGCTCCATGGGATCGAGATCTTCTACAACATGGCGCTCCTCGATGCAGAGATGGCTGGATTTTGGGCAAAGCTTCCGCTTATTCGGAAGCTCCTCCTCTCCCACCCGGAGGTCGAGTTCTTGTGGTGGATGGACAGTGACGCTATGTTTACTGATATGGCTTTTGAGGTCCCCTGGGAACGTTACAAGGATCACAATTTCGTGATGCACGGGTGGAATGAGATGATATACGATCAGAAGAACTGGATTGGACTGAACACGGGAAGTTTCCTGCTCAGGAACTGTCAATGGTCGCTTGATATTCTGGATGCTTGGGCTCCGATGGGACCCAAGGGAAAGATTAGGACTGAAGCAGGGAAGATCCTCACAAGGGAGCTCAAGGACCGACCTGTTTTCGAGGCTGATGATCAGTCCGCCATGGTTTACCTTCTAGCCACACAGAGAGATAAGTGGGGCGACAAGGTATACCTGGAGAGCGCATACTACTTACACGGATACTGGGGGATTCTGGTCGATAGGTATGAGGAGATGATCGAGAACTACCACCCGGGGCTGGGTGATCACCGATGGCCTCTCGTTACCCACTTCGTGGGTTGCAAGCCTTGTGGGAAGTTTGGGGATTATCCTGTCGAGAGATGCCTGAAGCAGATGGACAGAGCTTTTAATTTTGGTGATAATCAGATACTACAGATTTATGGATTCACCCACAAGTCGTTAGCCAGCAGGAGGGTCAAGAGGATTCGGAATGAGACCAGCAATCCTCTAGAGGTAAAGGATGAGCTTGGGTTGCTTCACCCTGCATTCAAAGCTGTAAAGGTATCATCTTCTTGACAACCAGATTAGAATTGGGATGCTCCCTATCTGATTTTTGTTCGTTGTTAAATCTTAATAGATGCGATTTCTGTTGTGTATGTTGTTCTTATTTATGTTATGGTAGGTTCTGTGATTTTTCTTTCTTATTTTTGCTCTGTGGTGATATCAAAATCAAGCTTTTAAATTAAATTGATTTCCAAAGGAAACAAAACCCATTTTACATATACAGTCGCCATGGCGAAATTCTGTTGCATTGTATATCTTTCTTGTATGTAAAATTGCAAGTTTGCAAGTAAGTAGCTAACCTCTGCATTTCCCATGGCACAACCACACGAAACAGAGTTGTTTGCTGGAACACTTATTTTCAATCTAGCACCCCCCACAAGGAGAAGGGTGTATTTTACTCTCAAGACACTCATCCATATACTGGGGGAGGTAGATGGAAAGTAGTAATCATTGTACGTAATCCTTGTAGAATATGTAGATGAAGTCATGCAGTAGCCAACACTATCTTCTCAAATTTCAATCTGATTCTGCTCTGCCTATTAATTTAATAAGCTCTAAGAGAGTTTGATAACGTGTCTATGTGTTCCTTCTAGCTCTAAATGTTTCTAAATAAGCTATTATTTAGAAATATAAAATTGTCAACTATTGCGTAAGTGCTAGACTGTAATTGAAGGCAACAATAAATAAATTCCATAAACACCATTAAGTAATCGTAATAGTTCATGGGGTTCCCGTTGAACAGCTTCATTGGTGACCAGATTGGGAGGGAGTAGAGAAATTAGAACTTGAAGCGGTTCTAGAAGTTGGGACCCTACAGGGGGTACCGGTAAGTTCCAGAAAGCTCAAATTCATCGTAGTCTTTACGTTGTGCTTGTATGCACTCTTTTATCTTTAGGCTTGTCCATGATTTGCACAAACATAAAGGAGAAGACAAAATCGAACACAAAAACAAAGAAAGAAAGAAAGGCGAGACAAGGCTTAGTGAGGAAAATGTAAGGTGTGTGAGAAGTGAGAACTCAGTACAACCAGGGCAGAGCCAGGAACTTTCATTCGGTAAACTGGTCTTTGACCAATGTTCTCTTGTTTGCTACGAGGCATCATTCCATAGCCAGGAACTTTCATTTGCTTGGGAAACATGCTTTTCGAAGTAAATACCCAAAATGGGTGTTTAGCAACCTCAAAACTAATTTCCAATGTTTTAAAAAAACGACCCCGAACCAGAACTGTTCTGGCCACCGGTTTTTAGGTTGATGGTTTGACCATCCGATCTGAACGGATGGCCTGTTCTGACAAAATAAATTAAAAATAATTAAATAATTAAAATTTAAAATGGCCAAAAATCGTTGAACAGGTTGATGGTTTGACCATTTGGGTCAATGAATCATTGACCAATTCAATGGTTTTTGGCCAAGGACCAGGTTTGGGGTAAAACGGAACCAGTTGTCTGGACAGTTCCCGAGCCAAATGGTCCGATCATCTGGGTCAATAGTGGTTCAAAAACCATGCTAATTTCTGACTTTTACATACTTGTAACCCCACCATATGTGATAGAATTAAAATGTAGTTTTGCAGCTTATTAATCCACACCTATTATCATAATAAAAATCACATTGTACCCGTGTAGTTAATATTAAATATTTAAATCCATAAATAACAAAAAAAATAATGGATGCACCACAATACATAATCATTGTAACAAACAACAAGAACACCATGCAAATTAATAACCCAACAACAATGCAACATAAGAGTGTTGCAATCACAATAAGCCCATATCATCCATGATTTGATCAATAAATTGTTAGCCGTCTTTAAGTGTCACTTCTTGGTGACTGAATAGGCCTATGTATCTTGCTCTATCACCATCTATCCAAAAGAAGCTATTATTATTATGCCTATTGAATAAGGCATGCATTTTCAGTGAAACAAACAATAAAAAACCATCTAAACCTAGTAAGAAATAACAGTCCAATGTTTAATTAAGCATTAAAAAATAGTCCAATTCCAACAATAAATAACTGTCCAAGATTTAAGCATGGAAAGAACAGTTCAATTCCAACAAGAAATAATTGTTCAAAATTTTAAGCATGGAAAAAAACAATTAATAATAATTCAAGGTTTAAGCATAGAAAAAACAGTCCATTACCATCAAGAAATAACAGTCCAAGGTCTAAGTATATGGAAAAAAATAGTCTACTACCATAAAAAATTAACAGTCTAAGCTTTAAGTATATGGAAAAAAATAGTCCAAAACCATCAAAAGAATAATAATCCATTGTTTAGGCCATGTTCACTTTTCGTTAAATTACTTACCCGGGTAAATGTGGTTACCGGGGTAATTCTAGTGTTGGCAACTTTCCCCCTAGGTGGGAAAGTTATTTACCCACCTAAGAGATGGGTATCATTTACCCGGATAAATGGTACCCAGGAAAATAAACTTTTCCTTGTCCCCACATAAATATGAAAAAAGAACATGGGATTTTTGGTCAATGGGAACCAAAATCTCATTGACCAACTTCCCCCCTCTCAAAATCAAAAAAAAAAAAGAATGTCCCATTAAGAAAGGTAGCAAAAAAACAATCCAGGCCCCATTCAAGTACTATGTTTGTGTCACATTCAAGCAAGATATATATCCATTTTAGCGGTAGGTAAAAGTCCAAGATACAACTGGGTATTGAGCTATGCAATTCATGCACTGCTTAACTATCCAAAAAGAGAGGAATGTATTAGAGAAAATGCACAAAAGCATACAAATAGAAAAATGAAGGCATACAGTTGTTAAAAAAAAGCAACCAAAAAACACATTCAAGCTATGCAAAATATATCAGCCACCAATAACCAAAAATTATGAATGTGAGGCATATAGGTGACGTTTGGTATAGCTTCCATTTATTTGAAAAACTTTTGCACTTGATTTACCTTTAAAACCAAGAAAAAAGTGGTTGATAAATGTTGTTCTACCATTGTTTGACAACTAAGCACCATTAAGTGTAGGAGGAAAATATCACTTTCGCCATGTAGGTGCAAAACTTTTGCACCTTAGTGTAGGAGGAAACGGTAAAATGAAGCTTCTCCCAATGGTTGGCTTACACATAAGCCAAGATAAACGTTTATTTGATAAACAGGCTTACCAGATACCATTTTGCGACAAGCGTCTACATGGGCGTTGAGCTGGCACTGTTTTTCAAATTAATGGAAGCCATACCAAACACCATCATAATTATTGTTATGAAAAAAAATCAGGTCATGAAAAATATATTAGACTTAAAAGACATTTCTCGTTCAACATATCAAATATATAATAGTTGAGTGTTCAATATTTACATGCATATCTCATTCATGATAAAAGGGATTATATATACATTCGAAGGGGTTACACAAATCAAATAATGAGTAGATCAAATTAACATTTACAATGAAAGGGGCTTTAATCCCATTTGAAATGGTTCACAAACCAAACAAATAACAGATTGAAATATATAGAATCTTAAAAAATTGGGGATTGTCAAAGTTGGTTAGTTAATGAGTAGAAATGAAAAAGAGAGAGAGAGAGATGAGGAATAATATAAAGGAATAAAAACAAGAAATGAAGAAGAAGATTGAAGACGAAATGAGTTAGGGTTTACCTGGTTTTGGTTAGGCTTAGATGGTAGTGAGAGCAAAGAGGGCTAAGAGTTCCGATAGAATGAGAGGGTTGAGAGAGTGACGGCATATTGAGACACCCCTAAAGCCAAAAGTCCAAAGACTAATTTTTGGAATTTCTATTTTTGACCCATAAGATTCAGTTTGGAAGGAGTACAAATACAAATATTTAGAGTGCAAAACCTTGTGTTTTGTATATATTTGTATTTGTACTCATTCTAAACTGAGCCTAAAGGGATTTGGATTTCTGGGATTCAACTTCCCAAAGTTGGTGCTTTCAAGTAAAGAAAGCCATTTTTGTGCTTTCAGACTTTCAGACAAAATGGATGTTTGAAAGCAAAAGTTTATCCAAACACCATCTAAACTCACAAGAAAGGGACTTCTCCGAACTTCATATGGTGACCATCTGACTCTTGATTTTCCTATTATGATGCAACTGTTTTTAAGAAGGATAGACATAGTTTGCACAATCTTAGCATGCCTCTAAATAAAGGTTCAAATTCCATCACATATCAGCCCGTGTCAAATGATGCTCATTGTATCAATGCATCACTGATACTTAAATCAGAAATCTTTTAGGCTGTGTTTTGTTGCAATGCAAATAAATTTGCACTGATACAAAACTATGGCAGTGCAAATGATTCAAGTGTAAATTTTGATCTATTTTTGTTTTAAATTTTAGCTTATTTTGTTTCATTGCAATGAAAATGAAGTAAATTAAGACATGAAGCAAAATAAAATAAAATATAAAACAAAATTAAATGAGAATTTGCATTTTTTCATTTGCACTCCCATGCATTTGTATTAGTGAAATATATATTACAAAAAGGTGGGTGCGGTGTATCCATATTTTTAACTTTGCCTCTAATTAATTGGGTCGTAAACCTATTATATTAGAAGAGGAATATAACTAAACTTTTATCCTACTCAAGTTGGTATTATTTTGGTTAATGAAAAAAAAAAAGCAGGTAATGGCTAAATTGGTATTCCTACTCAAATTCTTTATTATCTCTCAGCAAGAAAAGGACTGACAAACGAGATTCATGTTTTTTTGGAGATCATGTTGTTGGGTGTTGGAGATTCAATTGCGTCAAGTTGATTGACCTTGCTCCCATGTATGCAGCCCACTCAAGCCGTTGTATACAAAGTTGTTTCCTTACATTGCATAATAATCTGATCCCCAACCCCTAAATGATATTGAGAATGAAAATAGAAAAAAAAAAAAAAAAAAGAGAGGGTTAGGGAAAAGGAACAATCAATGTGTGAGGAGTTTTAATAACTTACTAATTCACTATGATCCAAGTTGATTGACTTTTTTAAAACACATTTAAGAAAACAATGGAAAATCTCGGGCATGTTTGTCTGCCTGTGGGAAAAGCTTTCATAAAGTGTTTTGTGCAACTAGAACCCATTCGTATTATGATTTATCAACTAGAGGGTATACAAAAGCAAAACTGGGAAAACCCTAAATTTGGCTTTGGCCACTATGCAAAGCAAAATTTGGTTCTTCTCCATTAAATTTCAATAGTAAAAACAGAGGAGGTTGGTTCAGTATAATTACTATCATTATACAG